AATTATGGGTCATGAAGCACCTTGGATAATCTCCAGAAATCAATTTAAAGGGTAATAAAATAAATGCTGATGTAATATTTTCCCTATAATTATTACAAAAACACAAAATAAGAAAAAAAAAGTATTTTATTTGTGTACAAGCTGTTTAGATTGTCAAAAAGCCTGTGTTTTTAGGGTTATTAATGAAGTTCGTGTACTCAGACCAGTAATATTTGGGGTCACAAGTTTTTGCCATGGATATTTTGAGGGTCAGAAGATCAAAAGTTTGGGAACCACTGCTTTAAGAGAGATTTATTTCAGCTGTACAGTCAACAAATATTGTGGAAAAACTGCTACAAAAATATAATAGAGTATTTACTTTAAATTTACAATACACAAAATCAACAGGATGCTTTTTAGGTTATTTCAAGGTTAACTTATTAAGTTATTCTTTTACAAAAATTACTGGAAACATATATTTACCAGTATTCTGTAAAAACTACCAACAAATATGGAAAACTAGAATTACCTGTGTTTTTGGTGAGGACTGTAGCTGCATTTAAAGTAAACTTTTCCCCAAGAATAACCAAGTAAATGTGGTTAAAGTTTATTATGCTAACTCCAAAAGGTTTTAGAAAACCAGTCACGTGGATTCTCACCTGGCAGGTGACAGAGAAACATTAAAGTCGAACTTCTCATCTTGCAGAAGGCACAGATCTGTTCAGAAAGAACAAAATGACCCAAACTTTACAGTAAAATCACGATATATCAGGACAGACCAGGTGAGCCGAGGCCAGAACTTACCACCGTTTACTCCGAGGTCCATCCCGCTATTTGCTCTCTTCTGTCAGGGAAACAAACACACGACTCTGCCCTTAATTCATGTCAACGCTTAAAATTATCACAGATGGAGTTTAAAACACAACGATATCTCAAGCTGGTGTATAGCGAATCTTGTGTATCAAATATAGCATTAGCTTTGTTAGCATATAGCAAGTCACTTAAGCTAAATTAATCAGAACGGACATTAGCTTTAGTTTAAATAAAGACTTGACCTGAAACTGAGTCATTTTAGCCTCGTATTTAACACTTCCGATGCCACAGAGTTATTATTTTTAAAAAGTACAAACCTCTAGTTTCTATTAACACTCGAAAAAGTTCTGCTTCACATTCAAAACTGCGAGATGAAAACACACCTTACGAATAATTCAAATCTGCTGCGAGACTAGTCACGTGACGGATGCGCACGACCTCATTGGTACTGAGGCATGTGACGTGTAGGGAAAGGGAAGTCTGGGACTTGTAGTTCAAAGCCAGCCGCGATCTGTTCCTGCCAAAATTACAACCATAACCATTAAAATAAAAGATATGGCAAGTAATTTGTTGTTAGGCTAGACAAACACTTAAATATCCACTTGTAAATATTGACTTTCATTTTATATAAAGGTGAACATCTGTTCACACTCCACACCCTTAGATGGCGGTAGGACACACCGTCAGTTGACACAGTTAATAAAACAAAAGAAGAAGGAGGAGGAGGCCAGGCGGAAGCAAAACAAACCCAACTGCATTAAGTTAGGCTTGTAGGCAATTGCGAGAATTATTAAATCACTTGTGTCCTACAGAGTGCAAACATGGTGTCCATGGTCCAGAACCAAGATGTCCAACAGGTAAGAGACTAATCTGAACAAATCTGTTCCTAACCATGTTGGTTAAACCAGATGTCTCCAGTGGTTCTGACAAAATTTAAAGTCTAAAAGCAGTCAAAACATCTTGTTTCTCTTTACTGTTCCAGTTTGATCTGATCTGGGTTCTAACTGAGCTCCTTTCGGTCCTTCCTGTCGGTGGTCCAGAACCACATTCTGCTGAACTCTGGTCCTTTAGGAGACTGTTGAACATGAACAGCTCTTCTGTGTCTCTCCTGCAGAAAGACTTGGACCATGCTGTGGTTGTGGCTGTAACGTCCCGGGCACTTTTTGAATCAGAGACCGAAGAAGATGATGGTCCTGCCTACAGAGGAGGTGTGGCTTTTCCTCTGCTACAGGTCAGATTCACGACCAGGAGAGAAACCAGGCTTTCTGTCAAACCCTGAGAGCTGAAGACCTTATACTGAACAGTTCAAAAGTTTAGAAATGTGTTGAAACAAAGCAGCTAAAGTCAACAAAACAGCAGCTTAAATCTAAAATTAGCAAAACTTTAAAAACTGAAATCAGCCAAACTGTAGCTGGAAGCTAAGATAAAAAGAAGTATATTTATTTTAATGTTTTAACTTTTAGCTAATGATTATTAGATTATTATTTCTCGGGGTACTCCGGTTTCCCCCACCCCACAAAAACATGAACAATAGGCCCAGGCCTCCCTTGAAAAAGAATTTATATATATATATATATATATATATACATACACAAAATTAATATTTATATTCAACAAAACTGTAGTTAAAAGCTCAAATCAGCAGACCAGTTGGTAAAAGCTAAAATAAAAAGCATCAACTAAAAGCTAAAAAATAATAAACCTGTAGCTAGAGGCTAATATCAACTGTAGTTCAAATTTAACATCTGCAGAACAGTATAAAAAAACTAAAACAAGAAAAACAATACCTAGAAGCTAAAATAAACAAAACATTTGCCAAAAGCTAAAATCAGCAAAACTGTAGATAAAGATAGAAAGACCAAAACCTAAGCTTGAAGGTAAAATCAGCAAAACAGTTGCTTAAAGTTTAAATCTGTAAAATTGTAGATAAAAGCTAAAAATAGCAAAACAAGCTTTCGTTACAAAATATCCCTCACACAAAAACAGCTATCTTTTATTTCCTCACAACAGATGCTCTCTGAAATATTTGTTCTAGTTTTGTTTTCTTTTCATCTTTTTTAGTTTTGAACTACTGCTTTTTTGATTTTCGCTAAATAATTCAAAAAGTGTAAAAGTTACAATCATTGATCTATATTACTGGATTGGACATCACCTATAGCTGCTAGAGCTAGCGACGAGCCGTCACAGGAGCCATTACTATGCATTGAGTCATGTCAACAAAACGGTGGAGTTTCAATGTGGGATGTGCGTCAATCTGTCACAAAAATATTCATAGCACCCTCATTTCTTATCCGATTTCTATAAAATATGGCTTAAATTAAAGCTGAGAAAATTGTTGATGTTGTGATATGTAAAAAAATATGTATTTGCTCAAGAGATAAATCTATAAGCAGTCTGGGAACTTTTCATTATAGGTATTTGCTAACGTATTTACAGTAGAAGCCCCTTTCCATCACTAAAAGACAAATTTGCTGTTCCAACAAATTATTATTATTTTTTATTAATATTGTTATTATGTTAGGATAACATTGTGAGAGGTAAATATAATGGACAACACATTTACTACTACTAGGCTGAACTGTGTAGATATTACTGGTACTGATCTGTCCAGTCAGCATATGGAATATCATGTAGTTTGTGATTATATACACACATAAAGAGTCATGTGTGTCATAAATATATTATTCTAATTTTGCATTTGTTTCCTGGTTCTTCATTCACACTGAAGTGACTAAAGACAAATTCCTTCAGCTGGTCATAAGATGAAGGCGGTCGGCCCCTCCACCGCTTAGCTTATGAAATGTATGGATGGAGGAAAAAAACGTTACAGAGATTTTTACTCTGATATATAATCACAAACTACAGGATATACAGTACCATATGCTGACTGGACAGAACATCAGTACCAGTAATATCTACACAGTTCAGCCTAGTAGTAGTAAAGGTGTTGTCCATTATATTTACCTC